ATAATAAGTTATTAAGTAAAATAAGACTACTAAGATTTATATTTGTAGTAAATTACTAGTGCTAAAATTAGATTTAAAATCGGAGTTTTAAAAGTAACGCGGTGACAATTTTGTAAATAATATGAATACTTTTAAGATCGGTTAAAATTTAACCGATCTTAAAAGTACTTTTAAGATCGGTTATATTATGACCGATCTTAAAAGGTATGTCTGACACAACTTTTAAGATCGGTTACAAAAGAACCAATCTTAAAAGTTGTATCCGACATAACTTTTAAGATCAGTCATAAAGTGACCGATCTTAAAAGTACTTTTAAAATCGGTTATTTTATGACCGATTTTAAAAGTGCTACTTTTAAAATCGGTTATTTAAGAACCGATTTTAAAAGTGCTATATTTAAAATCGGTTATTTAGAAACCGATTTTGTATGTAGTATACAAAATCGATTCTTAAATAACCGATTTTAAAAGTATCGTCATAAACCTTTTATATTTCTCTCCATTCTCATTCTCATTAATCTTTCCCTCAATTCCGTTTTTTACTCTCTCGCGCTCACATTTTCTAAAGTCTTCCAAAAGGAAAATTTTGTTGTCATTTTTATTTTCGTCTTCTCATGCTCTTCTAGTGTCTCTATTTTCGTTATAGGTTCAGTTTGGGTAAATTTTGAATCTGGAACGGACCGTTTTGCAAGGAGAACGGGTCGTTCTACAAGGAGCACGGGCCGTTCTGCAAGGAGAACGGCCGTTCTGGATTGGTTTTAACTCATGCCATACTATGCTAGAACGGCCAGTTCCTAGTGATTTAATAATATTTCAGTGTTTTATAGATTTTTTTTAAATGGATCGATTTCAACAAAAATATGTCGAAATATAACAAAGGCAAGGAAGAAAGTTAACAAAAAGGAATAAAAACAATTAAACCATAATAATAGAAGTTAAATAAATATGATTGAAGTATTTTTAATATCTTAATTAATTAGATGGGAAGAATGTTTTGTTTTTTATACACCAAGGTGTGAAGAATGTTTTTATAAGTTAGTATTTAATATTTTTTAATTTGTCCAAAATGCTTATGTAATTTTCAAAATAATGTTTACCGTTATTTTTCTGTCGAAATTGACACTGATCATGTTAATGAAATTAGATAAAAAATAACATTGAACGTTTTTTTTTAATTAAAGGACCAAATTGAAAAACTTAAAAATAATATGACTAAGTTGAATATTTTAAAAATAGTATGACCAAATTAAATAAAAATTTATCTAACATTTATTGTGTATATAAATTTGAATTTTCTCTTACTTATTTTAACAAGATCATGAATGACAAGAAATTGAGTACTTGAAATTAAAAATATGATCACAAAATGAAAAAGTTACCTAATAAAAGAGATTATTCAATAGGTAAAATAAAATTAAATATATCTAGACAAAAAAAATGATAGATAAATTTTTGTTCATTTAGTCTCTTTATTTATAGAACATTCAATTTGATCTCACTATTTTTAAATGATTCAATTTATTCATTTAATTTTCAAATGATGTTTAATGTTATTTTTTTTGTTCGAGTGTCAATTTGGACAGAAGAAATATTGAATATTTTTAAAAAATTAGAAAATTAAATTAAATCATTTTAAAACAATAAAATTAAATTAAATCTTAAAAATAAATAGAGAGATAAAAATATAATTTAATCTTAATTATATTAGTGACATTTGAAACTTTATTCATCCTTGCAAAAGTTTAATTTTTTTTATCAGAAATTATAATAACGATAATAAAATTTAAGTTATAATAATAATAATAATAAAATTTAAATTATTATGAACTTGTACAAAATTTTAAATAAATATAAGTTTACAAAAATAATTATAAGTGAATTTAGATGGAAACTAATTAAATTATTGGCATAATTAATGCTTATACCTTTCTCTGTCCTTCTAAATAAAACGGGTCGATAATAAAAAAGAATAACTACAAGAAGTTACATTAAACCATTTATAAATACAAGAATAATTGAACACGAGTCAATTTAGTAAAGTTGTAGCATGAATGAAAAAATAATAGTTGACAGAAGAGATCCACTAAAAATGAATAACTTAATTATATAAAAATGTTTAAATCATGTGTTATTAAAATACACTAAACTAATTAATATATATGCACAAAAAAATTGTTTATAATTTATCATGTCAAAAAAATAAAAATGAGAGTTTCTTTTATGAGAAAATTCCCTTCCCTTATTTTTCTTTTCCATATAAATATTACAAACTGATATTTACATTTATATCTCAGTCTTATTTATGTCCGTAAAAAAAAAAAAAAAAGAAGGTTACTTAGAGTTTTGTTTGAATAATTTTTTTCATAAATATTTTTAGAAAAAAAAAGAAATAAATTTGTTTATATGCATAAGTTAAAAATATTTTGCAAAATAAAATAATATTTACAAATTAATTTATGTGTAATTTAATTTTAATTTTAAAAAAGTTTATTTTATTTTCTTATTCTAAAAATTCTTTAGGAGCGCTCTTAAAGAGATCGGAAAACAAATTATCATATATATATATATATATATATATATATATATATTTATTTGTATGTATATGTGTGAATGAACTATAATCAAAGCTTGCCTTCGATGATGCTTCTTCAGGTTTTAGGTTCTGCAGTCCGATTAAGAATGTTCTGCTTCTGCCCGTAATGTTTTTGGGTAAGTAGTATTTTGTCTCTTTTTGACATATCTTGTTTGTTATCATCACATATATATATTGATGGATACTTCTCTAAATTCCTGGTGAACTACTTCATTGTTTGTGTTCATTCATTTTTTCAAATTTCTAAATATGGTTCATAAAACCAAATGATATGTAATTTAGTTCTTCCTCTCTGCTTAATTCAATTTAATTTTCTGTAACGACTCCAACACTAAGTCTCTCCATTTTTCTCAGGAATTAGGAAAATATATGAACAGAAACGTACCCATCGTGTAGTTCAACAAATATTGTCGTACATGCAGATTCTTGTTAAGAAGTTGAATAATTCACAGCTCCAGAGAGCTTTTGTGTACGATGCTATGTTGGATGCAGCCAAGCACGGAATCGTTGAGTTCATAGAATCTATGGCTAAGGCTGACCATGATCTCTTGTGGTCTACAGACAACTATAAGAGAGGCATATTTTCGTATGCTATTCTTCATCGCAAACAGATAGTGTTCCAACTCATTTATAATCTCAATGGAAGGAAGGATATAATTAAATATCGTATAGACGTGTTTGGTAATAATCTATTGCATCTGGCAGCACATTTAGGCCCTTCCTCTGATGTTAATGACAGAGCCGGTGCTGCTCTACAAATGCAAAGAGAATTTCAATGGTTTAAGGTCATTTATTTTAATTATTTCTCTGTGTAGATATTCATCATTACATAATATAAAAGGTGCAATGTACTCGCAATAGTCTAGTTAGTCATTTTATAGAAGTATGTCATATAATCCTTTTAGATTATGACAAAACTTAATTGCATACAATTTCATAAACAATATTAGTATTATTTTTTATTTAGAATTAGCGTTTTAAGTTTTGACAGCTTAGAGACTTACATCGATAAAATCACTGCAGGCAGTAGAGGAAGTTGTGTCTCTCAAGTGTAAGGAAGCAAGAAATGATGACGGTAAGAAGCCTCGTGAGCTATTTACTGAAACGCACAAAGAACTGGTGAAAGAAGGAGAGAAGTGGGCAAAACAAGCAGCTAAGTCTTTTGCACTTGTGGGTATTCTCATCACCACTGTCATGTTTGCTGCGGCCTTCACTGTCCCAGGTGGGAACAATCAAAATACAGGAGTGCCTATTTTCTTAGACTACGATGTATTTACCACGTTTCTCGTGGCAGATGCAATATCTCTCTTCACTTCTGCCACTTCAGTCTTGATATTCATTTGGATCCTCACTTCACGTTTCGCGGAAAAAGACTTCCTAAAAAGGATACCCTTCAAGTTATTGGCTGGCCTTGGCTTTCTTTTCCTGTCTGTGGCCTCCATGATGGTTGCATTTTGTGCTGCACTTGGTGTAGTACTTAATCATTATTGGGCTTATAAGCGTCTCTTTATAGGAGGTGCCATATTGGGGAGCATTCCAGTTTTTGTTCTTGTACCATCGCAGCTGAGACTCATATATGAGATTTTGCTATATACACTCTCAAATCCCATTCGTCGCGGCAGCAACTAGGAACAATACATGCATGGAAATATATTTGTATCAGAGTTTCATCAAGAATGATTTCTTTGAGAATCTTAAATGTGGGTACGTTACTAACTTTTCATTTGAAAAACTAATAGCAAAAGTTGTGTTGTATTGTAACTATGATGTAGGAGTTAATCCTGAATTATTGCATTTAATTGCCCTTTTAGCCAGTAATTCCTTGTATAATAATTATTAGAATTTTCGTCCACAAGTTTCTTTCATTTAATATTTGATTGAACTTGAAAACGTTTAATATTTGTCATATGCATTTTAAGTCTTGATTTTAATCCATCACAAGTCATATTTAATGATAAATTATACTCAACTTCTTAATATTTAACAAAAATATCAAATATTTTCATAGCACACCTCCCTATATTCATGTAACTATATAAGAATTTAGAGATTTGTATTATAAATATATTTAAAATATCTTTTTAATTCCTATAGTTTTCATTATTTTATTTTAGTCATTATATTTATTTTTATTAATTTATATAGTTTAAGATATATTTTTTAGTTTTATATTTATCTTTTTTAATTTTTTAATTTCTGTCATTAAATTTTTTGTAATGACATTTTTTATATTATATATTGATATGACAGGTATTTTTAAATTTGTAAGATCGACAATAGAAATTATAAGTGAAGACAAAAAAACACACAGTTTTAAAATTTTTTATTTAAATTAAATCTAGAAAAATAAATTCACTATCAGAAACATTAAGTTAAATACCTTTATTATATTAATATAAAAAATAATATTATAAAAAAATTAACTGCAGAAATCAAAAGATTATAAAACTGTAAATACATGAATTAAAAGTATCTATTTTAAATTATAAGAATTAGAATATAATAAAGTAAGTCTAATTAATTATATAAACTAAAAAATATTTTAACCTCAAAATATTATATAAATTAATATAATTTTGTGCCAGGTAAAGAAAAGGAAGGTATATAAAAGTACTAGTATCAAATTTCAAATTAAGGATTGATAGGAGTACAATTTTGTCTTTATGTTTAATTAGAGAATAGAGATACATGTACAGTTCAGACTTGTGCATATTTCATCAAACTTTTTGTAAGTACAAGATAGAGAAGAGAAAACCTTAATTAAAGAAAACAACTACAGTTTTTTTATTTATTTTTTATTTTTTTATTATTGTTTTATATAATTTTTTTTTATGTATTTTTCCTTATTTTTATAAATATATAAGAAAATTCTTTAAATATGGACTGACGCATGAAGCCTGTTTATTAGGTAATTAAATGAATTAGGAGATAAACATCATCTCAAAGGTTAGAAACTTAACTTTATTTTAATAGTTTCTAAATATATAAAAAAATAGTATAATCGTTTTAATGGTTATAATTCATATTCCAAAAAAAAAAAAACTTACACCTATGGGTAGTGAAAGTCCGAAAGAGAGCAACAAGATTAAGAGAGAAGAGATGGATAAATATGTAAAAAAAAAAGAAGTACATTTTAAAATATTTTTTTAGTATTTTTTATAAATAAAATAATATTATCAGAATTTCTCTTATTACATGTAATTTTTTAAGAAATGTTGTTCTTATAAATTTTTCTGCAAAATTTTATCTATAGGTAATACCTTCATGGATAATATGTTTTTGCGAATTTTAAAATTCGCAAGAAATTTTCCTGCGAAAATAATTTGCAATAAAGTTTCCTACGAATTTTTTTGCAAGAATACTTTTTACGAAAAAAAATTAAATAAATTACTACAAATTCTATCAATAATTCTTCAACTTTCAAATGCTCACAATGAATTCATCTGAAACATTTATTTCGGAACCACCAACATGTGATACATAATCTTTTAAACTCTAAGATTGTAGATTATAAAAGTCTAACACTCAATCATACAAATCAACTTGTAAGGTAAGTGTTGCTCCAACTTATATACTCTTTAATTATTTTATTTTCAACCGATGTGAGACTTGAAGTTTTTTTTAAATATTAAACTTATAAATTTAAATATTTTTTTGATTTTTCCTGTAGATTAAAATTGGTAGGAAAATCTGTAGAAAAAGTTACCTGCAAAATTTTTCTACCATTTAGTAAACATTATTACTTGCGAATTTATTTTTTTTGCAAGAAAATCTGCAAGAAACAAAATAAAATTCTTACAATATTTTCTGCAAATTTTACCATGAATTTTTTTTATGATCATTAAAATTGTAGCAAAATTTGCAAAAATTTCTTGTAGACTATTTTTTATAAAAAAAATTTGTAAGAAATATCTGTAAATTATTTTTCATAAATAAATTCGTAAAAAAAATTTGAGAAATTATTATTGCAAGAAAATTTATAAAAAATTTCTGCAAATATTTTTTATATGAAAATTCGCAGAAAAATGACATTTTTCTAGTAGTGTAAGACATATCAAACCTAAAATAGCTAGGCAACATCAAACGATACTTCACTAATTTAAAAAGGCATGAACTTTTTCTACCAGCGGATTTGATTTTAAAAGTATGGATCTTCTTCGTGAGCTTCATAGGATTGTCCTTGAAATGTTTTACCCTGATAAATGAGAAAAAAAATATACTCCTATGGATTAATAATAATAATAATACATCATAAAGAAGTTCATGAGGTCCTTATAGTACATCTTATTAGGGTAAAAAATTAGTTATCAATTTGATTTCAAGATTTCAGCGAAATAAATTAGTTACCATAACGACCCTGGTAGGTCCCTACAGTTCTCTAGCATACACAAACAATTGGCTATACATGTATAAAGTAACATGTAAGGAATATACAGTTTACAAAACATTCTATACATAAATTATATACATTATAATCTCAACACTACAAGAAAAATGACTTATGCCTACACACAAAAAATGTCACTAAAAATCTAAATTCCATAGGTAAAGGTATCATGGACTTTGACCTACAGATATTGAAGTTGTCAACTTTGAGGGGGCATATAGCTACAACTAATAGTCTATCACTATAAGTTTTACCTACAGACATAATTTTACCTACAACTACATTTGACTGTCACTATAAGAGCTACCTACAATTTGCAATATGCGTGGGTAAAAGTCATTGACTTATATTTACACTCCCTACTATAGGTAAACACCATTAAGTTATACTTACATGTTATGACTGTAGGTAAAAGTCATTAACTTATTCTTACATGCTCTGACTATAGGTAAAAGTATTTTTTATTTTATTTATTATTATTATTATTATTATTATACCTATAAATAAATAAATATATATATATATATATATATATATATATATATATATATATATATAATATCTCTTATAGAGATATAAGTATCCAAACTATGTTAAAAAAATGACAAATTCATGATGCTAAAGTTGCTAATTAGAAATAAAAAAGGAAAACATATTGCATTGATATATTAGATATGTTGTGTTAATCTTGCAGTTTTATTATTATTAACTTTAACAGAATTTGATCTGTGTGTGAGAGAGATTCTACAATAATATTCACCAATTACATTCATTAATCTGTGATCATCTACCGCACAATCTCAAATTTCTCAAATAGGGACATCACCAACATCAGTTAGCACTCGTGCATATCTTGTAATTCTTTGCCTGCATAATTAAAATTGTGCTATTATAAGCTATTAAGCTACTTATTATCATAATTTACAAGTAATTGAAGGCTAAAAACAATTGCTTCCATGATCATGGTAGATTCACAGACAAAGAATAACTAGATATAAGGAATCATGCATCATTATAGAAGTCCATGCTATCCTCATAATACAGCAAAAAAAATCATGCTTATTTTTTAACAACCATTAGTTTTTAATTTTATTTTTATATTTAAATGAATCAGATATGAATTCATTAATTTATATGGGATTTGCAGGATTTATATTTCTTTCCAGTAAAATGTATTAGATCAAATCTTGCAGCACACAAACTAATAGAATAGCAGGAACATCTGTACGATACAAATCCAAAGTAGGATACTAACACATCACGTAATTAAGCATCACTAGTTGTACCTTCACTAGACAAGAGATAATTTGAAGCTTTGAAATTCAAAAGAAGTAACCAACCAGAAGCGTTACGGGAATGAACAAGTATGAAGATTTGATAGAGTTGGTGTTTGTGCTATTCTTCCCTTTGTGATCTTTAACGTTATTAGCTCCACCATTTGTCTTCGCTTTCTGTGACACCTTCGTGTGTTCGACAGCGTGCAATGCTTGATGTGTTCTTTCACTTCTTTTGGCGTCTAATTTGCCTGATTCCATGATCAAACCGTGCATGGCTGCATGCCTCAAAAAATGATGCTAACATATATTTTGTTCTATTTGAAGGTTATTTTTTATACAAGAAATCAGACATAAACAAGAATAAATAGCAAAGAATAAGAACAAAATTTGTTACATTTGGTCTCTTTTGATTGCTTGGAATTCCCAAGATCTTCAATTTTTGTTGTAGATGTGTTCCCACTAACTGAAAACATGAGGATGTTGATGAACAAAAAGAACTATAGAAGTAGTGTTCTGGTCATATTTTGAATTTGTTTAGAAGTTAATGGACGTGGTAAGTGATTGGCAGAGAGAGTAAAGTTTGCTTTGGGCGAGGCATTTGAATTAGTAGAAACTTTATTATATATGCAATTCACCTTTTTGTATTCTGCTTTTTGTTCTGCATCAATACATTACAGTTATGCACCAATATAACCCATGCTTAATAAAACCATAACATGCAGGCTGTGACACAATAAAGCCCATAAAATCAGAAAGTACTGCAAGAAGGACGTTCGAATAAAACTATGAATTCTAATTGCATTTAATTGTTCGTAAGTGTGTATTAAATTAAATTAGCATTTTAAAATATTTTAAATATTTTTTTAAAAAGTTGTAAAAAGGTTTACTATTTAGTTTTAAACATATAATATTCTAGTTTATAAAAATGTGAAGTCAATACCACTTTCCTCGAAGGGATGGCCAATTCTATAAACACTCATCTACAAAGTGTGTAATCAGAGAGCACTTAAAGTCACAGACTCGCAATAGATTTGTTGCATTCACAAACTAGGCAGACTTAGATAAATAAGCACCTGACAAATACATTAAGTAATCATAGATTGTAAACTCAACATCAAGGCACATGTTATTGTACTAGTTATATAAAATCAATTTATAGATGTGACAAAAAATTAAAACTGCAGAGACTACATCTTGTTCACTACAAAAATATCCCATCTACGTTATAGACATATCATGTATATATACCTTCACTGCTTCAATAAAATGAAAAGCAGCTTCGTTATAACAGCCAACAGAATGAGCATATTGGCCTCTAAGCATCTCAATGATGCATTCACAAGCCTGTAAGATGGTTGGAAACCGCATGAACCAATTTCTCATCTGTACCAAAGCCTGAACCAATTTCTACAGGTACATATAAAAATATCACCAGAAGCAAGATAACTAATAAGGTAGATTTAATAGGGATGCAAAATGCTGAAAAGGCCAAAGCTAAACTCCATTGACTTGCAAATTAGTCACTTTGGTCACTAATTTTGAAAGATCCTGTCATATTAGTCTATAAAACTAAGAAAATCTCAAATAAATTTTAAAAAATGCAAATTGACATTCATATTAGTCCAAAACTCAAAAAGTGTGACTATAGTGATAATATATATATTCAAGGATCAAAATGAAAGTAAGTAGTTTAATTTATTGACTTATTTGACATTTTAGGAACTTATTTAATAATTTCTTAGTTGTAGAGACTAATGTGACAGTACTCCCCACTTTTGGAACTAAAGTGATTGTTTACTCATTTTATTTCTCATAGTAGTTCAAAAAGGGGCCAGGGAAAAGGAGAACAGTGAGAAAATGAAATGATAATAACAAGAAAAGAAGGGAACATTACCAGTCAATGGATGGATACAGATTCCTTTTTGGACATCTTCATCTGTCATGTATGAAGCAAGGCTGGAAGGATGACAGCATGTTAGTAATTTATTTAAAAGGCACTGAGTAACGTCACTTGAGAGGGGGAGTTATTTACTATTGTGTGGCAATGTTATTGTCTATCCAAAAAATGTAATAAGATTTTCAGTATATAACTTTTGAAAGAAATGTGCTGGAGATGAAAAATAGTGCAGAGCCTATGGAGAGTACAGACTGCAGAGGACTATCATGTATGTTAACATTTACAACTTAACAGTTTACATAAAAATCCTCACCATATTGCATTGTTATATACATGCGTGAAAAAAGAATTTTCCAGACAACAGACATATAACGAAAACATTTCAAAGAGAGGTGGCAGAAAACTAGTAACAAAACAACAAAACTACACATTAATAATACCACACAACAACACAATGCGTTATTGATGAAGATTTTCGCAAACCTATCACTTGGCAAGTGAACCAAGTTTCGAAGTAGTATTTAAAGATCGTCCTCAGGGATTTGCGTGTTTAGTAATTCTCGCTCAAATGATTTAAAAGAGAATGAGTTTAAAAATTCAATTGAATGAAAACAGATTCAAACAACACAATAAAGTAAACGTAGTAAAGACAATGATTAAGAAACAATGATTGACTTAGATGCACTTGCTAACTCATAGATCTTCTTAAAATAAATGCAATTCTAATTTCATTATTTCCACGTTCATTAAATAATTCAACAAGATTCCTCAAGGTTGAATCCTAAAGTCATTAAGCTCAAAACATGATTCCTCAATGTTTTGAGTCTAACACTTCGCATTAAGAACAATAACTTGAACAATGTGACTAACCAAATCAAGTCTATTCCTAGAACAAGAGGTGATTAGGTGCAAGATTTAGTTCGGGTTTTCGAAAGCGTTTTCCAACTGGATTCAAAAGCCAAAAATCATACAACGGTTGATCAAGCCGATATAAGCGTTAAGCGAAGAATCATTACACAAATAATGAGATCAAAATGCATATATTTAAGAAGAAGAGGAGTTAGTAGTTACATCTAACCAATCCTTAAGAAGTTTAGCCACCCATGGCCATTACAGAATCAAAGAGTGAAAAGAAGAAATTACAAAGCAAAGGATGAAGAAATGGAGTTGATCTTCGTTCCCAAAGGATCCAGCTTCCAAGTCTCTGTTCTTCCTTCGT